ATTATTTACATATTAAACGTAAATGAATATATCATATTTGTATTCATTTATGAATAAACATAAATAAAATTGAAAAGTATCATAAATGAATACATCATAAATGAATACAAATATGATGTATTCATGATATTTTTTTTTATTTATTTACTAATAAATAAGTTATATTCATATGTGAACTTTGTTAAATTCACATCTTATTCATAACTTAATCATAAATGAATACATCATATTTTTATTCATTTATGATTGAAGACCTTATTATTTACATATTAAAGGTAAATGAATATATCATATTAGTATTCATTTATGTATAAACAGAAATAAAATTGAAAACTATTAGAAACAATCACACTTGTTCATCAATCATTATCATAAACTTTGAAAATATTTGAATATATAAAACTAACAAAAATAAGAAAACTTGTTTTTATTATATAATCATTCAACACAAAATAATAAAACATGTTCACAAACATTTCCACACTATTTAAACGATGTTCAAAAACACTTAACAAACCATCTAAAACTTGTTCACAAACTTGTTTCACAAAACTATCTTACATGATCTCCAAAAGTATTCAACTTCATCACAAACTGTTCTCCCATACCATCGCACTTCATCACAAACAATCATCGATATTCTTTTAACCTTTTTTGATTTGTTTTCATAGCCTTGTATGCATGAGCGGTACGCACTGTGAATTCCACATTTTGATATTTTTTTGCAAGATCCAACACCTTAGCCTTCAATATGTTAATTTTAGAAGTTAACATTCAGTATGCATACCTTTGCTTGAGCTTCTCTAAAGTGGTTTATTGAATTGCACTATCTTTATAAAGATCTGGTTTCCACTTTGAGATTTGTTGTCCCATATAGGTCTCCATATGTCTCATTGCAAAGACCCCACCATCAACTTTATTGTTAACTGTTCTCCATGGCATTTTAATTAGTTGTGGTATGATAGTTTCTTTTGAGATGGCATTGGGTCTTGGATGGTTTATTTCTTTAAAGTATCTCACAAACAAAATTTTCTGATCCTTAAATAAAATAAAAGTTAGATATGTAATAAAGTGGTTCTGATACGTTGTTGTTAAGTGGGTACTTACCAAAGGTTTTAATAGTACTCCATATTTTCCTTCATAATCCCCCTCAACTGCACTATTGTCCGGAATTTCAATTGATGGTTTCTTTAAGTTGAAGACAATCACAAAAATGTGAGCACTTCTAACAAATGGAAAGAATACTTGTTTTTTTTATATATAATGGTAAGTATTTTGTTGATAATATATATATAAAAAAATAAGTTAAATTAACATAACATGTCAATATCTTTTATGATCAAGATTTTTTTTGGTACCCATCAATGCTCTCATGAAAGTTCTCCTTAAATTTTTCATACTTTTTTTCATCAGAAAATGTTGAAGATACATAAGCATTCTATAACCAAAATAATTTTAAAGGATTAGTAAGTTGTTAATCATAAATGAATACATCATATTGTTATAATCATATGTGAATTTCAGTTGCATATACATGATTATCATACATGATACTAAATAAATCTAATATTCATAAATGAATACATCATATTGGTATATACATTTATCAATAAAGAATAAATTAATGTTACAACACAAGCTTACAAATACTTCAACTTTCAAGAAAAGTATGTATGGTGAATTTTTGACATCTCTTCCAAGATCTTGGTGGTTAAGTAAATCAGACCAAGTGTCTAAAACTTCTATAAAAATCTCTATGTTTCCATATAGACTTTCCATAAATGCTCTTTGTGTTACCTGACCATATTTTGTCTAGACAACCACATCTCTGCAAATATATAATCAAAATGTCATATATTGTTATTTATATAATAATCATATATGAATAGGTCCACAAAATATTAGTTACTTACGATGTATTCCCTTGCAAGTTAAACAACCACTCACATACAATACTCTCCTGATGTGTCAGCTTAGGTTTTATGTCTATTATCTTTCATTTGTAAGGTGATTTGAAAGCATCAACAGGCTTCTTCGGTCTTCATTCATGTAGATCACGCTTTGATGGTCCTCCTTCTATAGGAATTGCTACAGCGATTAGACTTGGATTAAGAACATTTTTTTTGATAATCTGATCACAGCCCTTTGATGATCTTCCTTTATTTGTTTCTTTTTTAAGTGGTTTTTTTTAGTGAAGATTCATTTTATTTTTATCTGAAGTTTGATCTGAATCTTGATTGAGACCTAGACTAAAGCTTGGATGAGTATTATCTTCATTTTTTGATTTTTTATCTTCCAGAAGATTTAAGTAATATATTAATATAATATGAAAAATATAAACTTTAATGTAATATATTAAGTATAATTAATTAGTGAATCATCTATTTACCTCCATTACCTGCTTTTTTGTTCTCAACTTCAACCCTTTTTTATGACCTTCAAAATTCAAATCATATATGAATATTGAATCATATAAGTTATTATATGTTAATTATAATATTTTTTTATATTTTATTTATATATGATTATTGATCATTCCAATCATATATGAATTTTTAAATGTTTTTCCAAATTGTTACCTCCATTATTTCCTTTTATCTTCTCAGCTTCTCCTCCTTCTTTATTTTAATCTTCAGACCTTCCATTGCTTGAAAGATACACATCATATATGAATATTGTATCTATATTTAAAATATCGCATTACTTAATCATAAATGAATATAAATATTTTAATATATTCACTTATAAATAAGTAATGCATAGCATTACTTATGAACACGTAATTCTATCTTTTACTTATTAATTCATGAAAATTATGTTATTCAAAAAATCAATGTAAGCATTATAATATATTCAGTTATGATTAAGTAATGCATATCATTACTTATGAACAAGTAATACTATATTTTTTATCTATTCATATACTGTCTTATTCATTTGTGAAAAAGCAATCTTATTATATTCACTTATTAGTGAATCATCCATTTTCCTATATCATCTTCATTTCCTTTCTCAACTTCTCCTCCTTGTTTATCTCAACCTTTATCTTTGTTTGCCTCAGATAGTTTCAACTTCTCCTTGTTTATCTCCACCTCCATCATTTCCTTTTGTCTTCTCAGCTTCACCTCCTCCTTTATTTCCATGTTCAGATTTTCCCTTGCCTGAAAGATATACATCATATATGAATATTCTATCTTTTTTACTCATTCATATACTGTTTTATTCACTTATGAATAAGCAATCTTATTAAAAAAATCAATATAAGTATTGTAATATATTCACTTAATAGTGAATCGTCTATTTTCCTCTATCATCTCCCTTTCCTTTCTTAACTTCTCCTCCTTGTTTATGTACACCTTCTAAGTTTCCCTTCCCTGCCAGATCCATATCATATTATATATTATGTATAATTAATTAATGAATTATTGAATCAATAATAACATTTTTTATTTGTAAATAAATAATAAGTTAATAGTAACATTTTATAAGTTAATAGTAACATTTTTTATATTCATTAATATATGAATAACAAATACATACCTTGAATAACTTGACTGATTGGAGTATTAGTTTTACTTCCTGTCCTTGCTGACCCTGGTCAAAATTTAATAAACAAATTTGTTATTGTGTATTAATATTTTTATATATTTTTATTCCAGATTTCATATTCTTGACTATTTAAACTTGAAAATCCAATGCCAAGCACATTATCCACAATGTTTTCAAAAACTTTATCCTACAGATTTTGATTTGATTACTTTTTCGACTAGTATCTCCGTCATTATTTGTTTCTTCAGTCTCCTCATCGTTTTTCTCTTCGTCATTCTCATTTTCATTGATCTCTCCATCATTCTCTTTTGCTTCAGTTTCACCTTCCTTTTTCTTGTCATCACTTTCTTTTTTATTGGTCTCTCCATCATTCTCTATTCCTTCATTCCACACATCGTTTCCATCAAGCAACTAATATACTTCAAGTTCAGGTCCGTCATTATCATTGTCTTCTTCACCATTTCCCTCTTTATCTTCATTCTCTTTTTCATCATTTCTTTTTTCATCCATAACTGGTGTCAAATTGATACCTTCAAGTCCAGTTTCATTACTTGGGAACTCAAAATTTTATGTGCTTTCAGTTTTATCTTCAACTATTACATTTGTGATCTTTTCTTTCAAAATCCTGAAACTTTCCTTTTCATGGAACTTTGTTATTGCATCATTGAGTTTTTAATTCAGCTTTTCCTTCATCCTCTCAAAACTATTAAGCATTTTAGATAAATTTGATTCATATGCCTATGTAATAAAAAGAAATATAATTAGAAATTAATATAATAAATTAGTGTAATAATATATGATTAACATATTCAAAATAATATCTCAACAGAATCATCTTCATCTTTATCACAATCACTATCTTGCAGATCTATATCTCCTTCAACTTGTTCATTAACAAACTCTTCATTTAATTCAACAAAGACCAAATCTACCTATTTCTTGTTCAAATGTCTCTCGATATATAATCTTCTTTGAACTCCAATAACAAATTGTTGGACATTTACGTGTTACCATTAGAGCTTCCGAGTGAATTTTATCAACATAGAACAACTGAAGATAAATGATAATTAATTCATATTCATAAATGAATTTTTACAAAATATAGTATTAATTATTTCTATTCATTTATGAATAAGTAATGCAAAGCATTACATGTGAACAAGTAATACTATCTTTTACTTATTCATATATGAATATGTGTTATTCAGTTATGAATAATTAATCTTATTAAAAAGTGAATATAAACATTATAATATGTTCACTTATGAATAACTTACCACCAAGAAAGGTAAAGGTCCAACAAATTAATTTTTATCTAAGTAAGGTATGTATGATTTCTTTGTTCTAACGAGACAATCAAAACATAGTTGCACCAGTCTATGTTGTTGATATATGTTTTTATTGAAATATAACTCAAAGGGAACAGGTTGCATATTCCCATTGATGTTGACTCACAAAATCCGTTGAAAAAAAAGAACTAAGAAGTTCAATTTGAAATTAAAATCGGTTTCAGTGGTACGAACAATTGCTTTTTTTATTACATTCAGTCTTATTATTGCTCCTTCTTGAAATTGTTCCTTCCATTCATCATAACATGTATCATCTTTAGGACATTGATCCAGTTGTGTTAGTATGGTTCCACCAGTTGGAATCCCCAACATGTCATGAATAGACTGTGCTGTTACTTTCAGTTCCTTTCCTTCAACAACTATGACCATTCTTTCAGAATCAAATATTTGAAGAATATCAAATCTCAGCTTCAGTGGTATATCGGTCATTTTCATTCTTAACAGACTTCTAAAACCCATAGATCTTACACATTATTTTTGTTGTGCGCTCAACCCATGCATTATAGCGAGTAATGACTATGGTGAACAACTGTTTTTCATTGAATAAAAATCCTTTACCACGGGGTTTTTTTTTCTTTTATTTCTTAATTGGTGACTCATTTTTCTTTGCCTTCTTTTATGGACGACTACTTTCAAAATCAGAATCTAAATCATGTAGTTGTTGCTTTTCAGGAGTTTTTGATTTTGCTGGACTTTTTTTTTCTTTGATGCTTTGTTTTCTTTGCTGTGTTTGTTTTTTTTTATTTCTGGTAAATGAAAACATATAATACTTGAATAAGATGGAAGTATTCGTATATGAATAGTACAAATATATAAAAGGGATATACAAGTTATTCATATATGAATATGATATATATATATATATATATATATATATATATATATATATATATATATATATATATATATATATATATATATATATATAAAAGCCATATATAGTTATTCATATATGAATAGATATATAGATATATATATATATATATATATATATATATATATATATATATATATATATATAAGCCATATATAGTTATTCATATATGAATGTAGGTACTCAATAGTTTTTATTAATATAACACATATTTGGCTTGAAGTATTCATATGTGAAAAGAACAAAAATATAGTATGGATATACAAGTTAAGCCATATATAGATATTCATATAACAAGTTATTCATATATAAATATATATATATATATATATATATATACACACACACACACACACGCTAGAAGGTTACCCGCGCAATGCAGCGGGCGACAAATAGTTTCCTTTTGACTAGGGGTGAGCATGGTGCGGTTCGGTGCGGTTTTTGGCCAAAATCGAACCGAAAACCGCAACGGTTCGGTTTTTAAATTTCAAAAAACCGAAGTTGCGGTTTTCGGTTCGATTTTGGCCAAAAACCGCACCGAACCGTTCGGTTTTTATGCGGTTCGGTTTTTGCGATTTTTTATTGCGGTTTTTTGCGGTTTTTTGCGGTTTTTTGTAAGTTGTTTTTGTTTTCGTTTTGTCTTTTTACTAAAACTCAAGTAACTCAGCGAGTTACTTTGACTCAGATGAGGAGTGCTAATCATTTATTGGAGATAAACCGATACCACCACCTCATGGTTTGGAATTAAATTACATAACCACTCATCCAATATGTTTCTAATGCTTGAATATAATACGAATTTAATATAAAATTTGTTTCACAAGTAGATACGATAATATCAATTAATGTATTCATAAAAATGATACTATATCACTAGTACTCTTCATATTTAAATGTTAAAAAATGTCATAAACATTATTTGTTATTGTAAATACCACTGAATGTATGCTTAAAAATATACAATCATCATCCGATAGATAAGATGGATATTTATATTTATAGAAATTTTAATTGTCAGTTCTTACAAATATCAACACTTAATATATATATATATATATATATATATATATATATATATATATATATATATATATATATATATATATATATATATGCAGTGCGGTTCGGTTTTTTGCGGTTTTTGCGAGACTAGAAACCGCACCGCACCGAGTATTTTCGGTTTTTGCAAAATTAAAAACCGTACCATCAGTTTTCATTTCGGTTTCGGTTTTTTGGTTTCGGTTTATGCAGTTTTTTCGGTTTTTTTGGATTGCGGTTCGGTTTTTGCTCACCCCTACTTTTGACGAACAATCGTTTTTCGGCGGTTAGTGACATTTCGATGGATGTTTTCAAAACATTTCATATGCCGAGAACATATCATGTATCATTTATTCCAATCAAACATTGTCTATTGAACAACTTTTTGAGCATGTGGATAACTTACGCTGGAGCAGAAACAAGAGGAGAGTTATTGGTATGGTGTGTTGCACGACGGTTTTCATTCTACGGAGGTTGCGGAATGATATATGGTGGTAGATTTAGAAAACTTGTTTTTCCTTTCTCAGGATTAGCTATAGATTTAGAAAACTTGTTTTCTTTTGAATTGTTGGTTGCAATTCTTTTTAAACAATTTGTAAAGGTTTTTGTTTGATCTCTAGCTTTTTGCTAGAGTTTTTTCTGTTGTTTCAAAAAAACAAACAAAAACAAAAAACAAAAAAATAACAAAAACCCTGATTTTGTTTTCGTCTTGAATCATAATTATCTAATATGGATATTTTTGCTTCAATCAAACCTTAATATTCTTGACGGAGATAGTTGATGCAATCAAACTTTAATGTACTTCTCGGAATTTCGTTAAGGAATCTAATAGTAATTATCCAGAAAACTTAAATATTCTGAATAACATATGTCATTATCCAAAACTATATTATGAATAAGAAACACAGAAACAAATAACGTATACCATGTTTATGGATAACAATAATCAAATTTATAAAATAAAACATATAATTTCTTTAAAACTACTTATTTAACACTATATGAGCATGTATTTTCGGCCTTTCGGCAAATAACATATGACATCCCCAATTTCATGGTCAGAAAAGACCGATTTGTTTATGCTTTATTTAAAAATCAGAGTATCCTTTTGAAAAATAATGTTGCGGGATTTGTTCCAAATAAAATGATAAAGATTTTATCAAAGCATCTCCGAAGAAATATATTTTAATTATATTTAAAACATTGGGATTTCATCGTCAATACAGTACATAAGCATAAAAAGAAATAGTACATGTCTTACAAACATCTATTATTCTAATGGCCTATAATCCATAGATCTCATCTGATCATCACACGTATGCTCTTGTGACACTACTTGTAATACAAGAAACTAAGTGGGTCAGACTTGGGAGCCTGGTGAGCACATAAGGTTTTCAACCCAGAATAATTAAGTTATTTAATTTCATCAAATCATTCAACCCGATTAATTGTTCCCGTTATCCTCACTTTCTGACCCTAAAGAACCTAATTCAAGGGAGCTATCCTAAGGATTATCATCGGGAAGACAATACTGCTTAGGGGATTCCTCAGCAATATATGTTAGTAAGGGAACCATGATGGGGATGGAGTACACCTAGTGAACACGTCGTTCACAATCACCTACAGGTTGCGAGCCTGCTAACGTTCCACTAGACTGTCTAGAATAGTCTGTGGTCGTCATCTATACTCAGCTAGATGACTGGATCAAATTTTAACATCGATGCCTCTCATCATTTTATTTCATCATTCATCATCTATTTCATCTGCCCATTTTTACCCAACATATTAGTAGATATAAAATACATATATAGTTTAAATCAAGTAAAACATGTATAATTTGTTCATCAAGCATAGATATCAGGAACACAGATAATATGCACACATAGCACGTGATTTATATTAAATAGTTGATATCTATGTGTAAGATGAAAGTAACTATGCACTAACTTGTTAAAGTGATGACTCGAAATTCGGGCAGTGCTCCGCTTCTAATAATCGTCTTTTCCATTGACGAAACCTAGTATTATTATTGCTAAGTTTTAGTCTAATATTTATTGCAACTATATATTAGTCTATATTCATCATTAACTCAAAGTCTACTTTCATGATCTATCAAGTAAGGAACAACCAGGTAGGATCATATCGGAGGTAAGGTCTGTTTGGTATACGAAGTATATATATACTGTTTGGAAAGCCCACTTTAAACGCCCCACTAAATCACAGCCTAGACATCATCCCCATAAGTAGATCAATAACTATAACGACTTTGAATCACTGATAAATCTTTTTTATAGGTTCATAATAACGATAATGAACTTAAACATAAGTCATACTTAAAGTAGGGTACGCATAACTCATTTACAAGGGAGTTTAGCGAGGAACCAGGCTCTGCACGGGCGGAACTTATGAGCCGAAAACTCTTCTTCTCGGGGCCTTCTGGCACTCCAGGACTCACTTCTAACACCTAGGAGGTGCTAGAGGAAAGTGTAGAGGGTTTGGCGTGTTTGGGAGAGAAGTGGATGAGAATGGTGTAGAGAAATGAGTAAAGACGAGCTTCTATTTATAAGGTGAGAATTCGAGTTACGCGGGATGTAATTGATCTGTACGTGGGGCGTATTGTTGTACGCTAGGCGTACGCATGCTACGCTGGGCGTACGCAAGCCACGTGTCATCATCTCGTGAAAAGTCGTGGGGAAGAAGTAGTGGCTTAGATTATGCCACGTGTCACTTCGGGGTTTAATCCAAAACTTAATTATCTTCTAAAATCCGTAACTTTCACATACGAGCTCCGTTTTTGACGTTCTTTATAGCAAGGCGTAGGTAGCTACGTGATCTACAACTTTTGTTTAGACTCTGTCAGCTAATTTTGACTTTATTTTTAAAGTTATATTTTAACAAGCTTAGATAGTTAAAGTCCGTTAAAAATTCATAATTTTATCATCTGGCGTCCGTTTTCTACTGTCTTTATATCGTTGAGCTCCTATTAACAAGATCTTTGATTCTCGTTTAGGTTGTGTCAGCTAAAAATCGATTGGTCTAAAATTTGATTTTCGGCTGTGCACTTCTATGCTAAATCTTAGAAAAATCATAACTTTCTCTAACGAAGTCAGATTTGCACGTTCTCTATATGCATGCTCTCAGTTTAACGTCTACTACGACTTTCGTTTAGACCTCTAAGGCTAAAAAGTAGTTTCTCAAAATTTCACTTTTTATGATACGCGGCGTCGTGCCGGTTTAGTTGCGAAACTTCGACGAGTCATAACTTCTTCGTTATAATTCGGATTTCAACGTTCTTTATATCTCAGGAATCCTTGTTACGACTACTTCGAATTTCTTCAAATATATTGGGTCAAATGTTTATTATATTTTTTACGCATATTTTATTCTTAATTTATTATATCGTTATAAGCACATAAATCACATAAATACTCAAATAATTCTTCTTCATTACTTCAAAATAGGTTACAATTGTCAACGCTAACTATTACATCATAATATTAATGCTTATCTAGAAACG